CAACGATGATAATTTGTCGACAGTTCTAAGCCTGTAATAATTGGGAAGGAAAATTGTGAATTAATAAGTAATAAGTTTGAGTGCATGTATATGAAAATTATGTGTAGAAAGTATGTATTGTATACATTATTTTATGTTGTACCTAAATTATTATACATAGTGTATGGTGCGCAAAGGTATTGTGATTCTATCAGGTAAAAAGGATTGGGGCGGAATCGTATTGCAATTTTTTTGCTCAATCGTGGTGTAATTAGTTGGATCAAGAAAGGAAAATTTGCGCAATCGTGGTGCACCGAAGACAAACACAAGTGATGGAAAACACCGTAAGTATTCCGAACATGTGCTCCGGAGAGAAATGCTGAAATTTTAATTTGCAGAGCCGCATTTCGTCGTACTCCAAATGTTAAAAATAACCTGATTACGTTGTTTGTGAAAACACGGAGAATGCGTTTTAAGAATGACGCCATAGGTTTTACATAGTGTCGCAACAGTTTAAATGAAATATTTAATACGTCCTATGGGAGAACAAAAAAAAATCCTAATTAAAATAATTTAATATCTGCCGATAAAAACCGTAAGCGATGACGACGACATCGTGCGATTTATAATTAAGGTTATACAAACAACGGTAAGAAAATCAATTTTGCCGACGAAACAAAACAACGTTTCTCGATTCCAATTATGCATTTGTTAAGTAATCGTTTTTGGATTAAGCCGTCGAGAGCGCAATTACATTACGGTTAATGCGTTCAGACCGATATCTCGTCCGAACGCTACGAGAACAAGAAAACGACGATGGGCCGCGTTTTTCGAGATCGTACATTTTTGTTGGCATCGTTCGCGCGTGCGCGTACGGCACAGTAAATTAATTAACATACCGTTAGTGTTCCGGAACGCTGTTTGAACGAACTTTTATGCAAATGACACGCGGATCCGTGCGAAATCGCTGTTACGTCAATTGCACCGCGCTAAGGATGCGAAACACGTGAACGCTGTACCAGACGCGCTGAACGAACAGTGAATAAGCTGACGCTGACGTTTAAGTTCTTGTTGCCCGCTGTACTCGGAACGCACCAGGAACGCGTGTACGGAACAGGCGCAGTATCTTATTTCATTCGGATCGCCGCACAAGTCGTCTCGGTGGGGCCCGGTACTCGTATGCAGGACTGATGATAAGGGGGGGAAGTAATAATCCCCCCCCGGGATTGGAATTTTTAAGAGAGCCCAGAAACGAGGGACTACACATTATTGAATATTAAACACAATTAATGATCAGAATTTAAAGAACACCGCAGAAAAAAATACAAGGCATACCTTAAGATATAACCCCTGGGCCCAGGTTTCTCTCCCCGTGGCCCTGCTTATATGTACATGAAATTAAATTAAAAATAAAAATAAAAAAATACGCGTGTGATCAGTACAAATACCGGTCGGTTTCGGATCGCGGATATATTACGGCAACGAGGTCAGGGGCGCGTGCATTTATTGTTCGGCTGGTCGTTCGGGTTGTTCGTGCCGGAAAGAAAGAAACAATATCGGTGCACAGAACCTATGGACCGTTTTCTTGTAAATGCCGGCGGGAAATAACGTTGATATAATCCTTTGGTAGTCCGTTTAAGGTCGTATGAATTTTTTTTTTTTTGACAAGAACCCGAGGAAAACACGGACAAGCACTGGACGGCGGGTTAAGATATAATCCTGAAACGGTAATAAAAAAAAAAAATAAATAAATGAGCAAGAGTACAATACCGATTCAACGGACGAAAAGAGTAAAATCGAGACTAACGAAACCGTTTGATTTTGATATTCAGAGAAGGTTAAACACATAGGTCCGACCTATACATTTCCATTTCTTCACAACGTTTTGTTCGATGTGTACATATGACATGTATTGTGCGTCGTAACAATATAATAATAGTATACGGAGAAATGGAAATATAAAAGGGAATATAAATAACAGTCCAGTATGAGTATTGCTGAACGCATTATACTAATATATGACTGGAACGTAATCATAGGTCTTCCTATATAAACGTGACTTTTATTTGAGTACTGTTATTTACGTAGTGTGTATGGCACTGCGCTACCGCGACAATGGTAAGACCAAAGATATTATAAACGTATAATAGATTATAAATGCAATCAAAACGTTTCAATGATTATTAAAAGAGATTTATTAGAGTCTGTAATCGAGTAAAATCGTATTAAAAACAATTTTTTGTGCGCTCTGATAAACGGCTGTATACGTATATATTAAGTTGCCATGCAGTTTACTTTTATGATAACATCTCCTTAAAAATGATTACTCGAATAAAAAGCTTTATATTTAATTACAATCTTAAATGGAAGCAATTGAGATTGTTATGAAAAAATCGCGCTCACTTCATGTTTTGTGTACACCTACTTATAAAATATTTTCCTTTAAATAGCATTTATGTTGCTCGGGTATACGTATAATCATAAAAAATATTACGAAAGTATACTTGTTGGCATTGTTAAGAACGTTAGAGTTTTATGCGACTAAAAATTTTCGAAAAGAAAAGAACCGTTAGATTATTTAAGCTTTAACAGATAAATTTAATTTTTAATTTTTTGAATTATGAATGTGCAACTCCTACCTATTAAATAATGCAATGTTTACGTTTACGTTGGGCTGGAAAACATAAATGACAAGTTTCACATAATCCTCCGTGGTTATTTCATTATGTTCAGCAGAGTTGGGTTTGAAATATTTTGTCACGGCATTACGTGAGCCTTGAATCTTCTCGTAACAGTCAGAGATTTGCTTGTAATCGCGAGATTTTAAAACCCTCTAGTGGATGTGTGAATTAAACATAAGGCAACAAGATGTATATAATGTTTATGTAAAATGCCTGTCGCTGTGTGTATGTGTGTGTGTATGTAGTATTGCAAATATACAGTCAGTTAAAATGGATGGATTTAAAATGAAAATAAAAATTGAATTAACGCTGTTACGAACAATGTAAAACGAAGTGGTGGTGAACCGATATCGTTACGAGGTTTCCTGTGCAATTCTTGTGATTTACTCTTAGGCGTTTCATGTTGATTTATAATATAAATAAATAATGTTTTGTAAACGGTGATACCTAACCAACTACAATGGAATCGCAGAGGACTAGACACGTAATCAAACCAAATCATCAAGGGGGGAAATAAAATTTTAGAGGGGCATTAGAAAAAACAATATAGTTCTTTACATAGCATACATAAGCACATTTAATACTTGTTGGGGAGAAACGATTCGATTCAGGTGGTAATCCTCCAAAGATTAACAATCCTTGTACCTATATTAATGGTACAAGAAAATTGTTTTATTTTGTAGGAATCCACCATAAGTTTTTTTATTGTACCTTATGTACCAAAATAACAATACTCTAAAAATTAAAAGTTTACTATTTTTATTCTACTAATCAAATGGATGCCGTAAAAAGCAGGTGTGCAGAGTGTGCATTTTACATAGGTCCCAGGCCTCATGGTATATTATGGGACCTCAAAAGGACTTGTATGATGATATCAATATATTATTAATTTTAATTAAACCAATGTAATTAACTATATTTCTGATTCAGTGAGGACATGGCACGGAGAGACTTTAGAACAAAAGTTATCGAACCAGTCATCATCATTGTCAGGGCGTTTAGTGGGATTTACACAGTTTTTAAACCTTCTGGCAGTGGCCCATAGATATTGAATTGAGCAAGAAGGGTTTAGATTGGAACAGAAGTTTTTCCAACTGTTTCTTTTTATATTTTTAAGCAAACGAGTGGTATGGGCGTGCACATTACGATATTTAAGGATATCAGATAGACAACCTGTACGATGAAACATTTTAAAATGTAAAGATCTGGTTTTGACGGCCTCGGTACAGGACGAATTCCACCACAGGGGGTGGGTGGATGAGATTTGTGTTTGTTTGATTTTACTGGTGTTGTCAGTTTTGCAGCGTTTATTATAATTTCAGTAAGATTTAAATAGGAATTGAGGAGAGCAGGATCCTCGGAAGACTGAGAAAGCGTGTCGTGTATATTAAGTGAGAAAGAGGTCCAATTAGCCTTATTGTAATTGTAGAGTAATAGGGCTGGTGAAGTTATTGGTTAAATGCTGATTGGAAAGATTAAGAATTGAGAGGCTCCTGTTGATAGTTGTTATGATAATAGGAAGGTGATCACTGCCATGAGGCTCACATAAAGTGCGTCATGAAAGGTTCAAATTTAAGTTAGAGGAACAGTAAGATAAATCAATAGCCGAGTCAGTGAAATTAGGCCGTCCGACATGTGTTGGGCTGCCATCATTGAGTATGCTGAAACGGAGTGAGTTGATAATATTGTAAATAATGTTCCCACGGTGAGATGCGGAGACAGAGCTCCAAGCGGGATGGAAGGAGTTAAAATCACCACAGAGTATAAAATTGCTGGAGATCTGGCTGAAAGGAGAAACCCAGATGTTAAAAGGAACGTTGGAACTACTAGAGATGTAGCAGGACCATATCTCTAAAGGAGATTGGGAATCCGAAACGATTTCAACCCCTAAAATGTCAATTTTGTGTTTATAGAAATTATCTCTGGTGGTCATATCAATAGGAATTAATCTAGATTTCAAAGAGTGATGGATTGATACAGCCACGCCACCAAGCCCATCTGGTCGATCAGATCTGTGAATTCTAAAAGAATGTATATTCATATAACGGGAGGGGATGAGCCAAGTTTCGAAAAGTATTGCAACAGAGCATTTTTGAGCAGAGAGAAGGTATATAAGAGAAGGAAGACGAGCTGATAGGCTTCTTACATTAAAATATTTAGATCGTTGCCAAAAAAGATATTATTTACGTTAAAGGACAAAATGCTTGCGTAAAGTTAATAACGGGTAAAGATATAGTAGTTTATATTAGGTTTATGTACAGAAGAATAGGAGATTGCTTAGGAAATATGTTGGAAGTTGGGTATAGCTAGTAAAGAAAATTGAGAAGATTCAATTAAGGACTAAAGAGCAGAAGAGGAGAAATGTGAGGATAGAGAAGGAGAGTTAATCAAAATTTCGGAAAGTTTTAAGGATAAAGCATGTACCCAAGAAAAATCGTTAGAGCTATTTTCCATAGAATTACGTTGATTAGATATATTATCTAAATAACTTCCATTAGGGTAAGAAAAGAAAGGTTCAGCGGGTGAGATATTTTTATTTTTATTCGACGTAGTATAAGGTTTCTGTTTGGGTTTTCTAGAATTAAAAAAATGATGGCTTTCATTTAAGTTAGGAAAATTGTCCTCGTAACGGGGCATATTTGGTTTCAAAATATTGGGGTTTGGAAGATGACTATTTACTACATTAGTGTATTTAATAGCAGAGGTATAACATTTATTTTTCTTAAATTCTAAAGCATCTTTATAAGATAAATTTTCAGTAGCCATGATTTTTTTTATAACGTTTTGAGCTGACCATTCCTGACAGCTACGGTTTGTAGCAACATGTGGAAGTTTGCAGAAGATACAGGTCGGGTCTGTGGTAAGAATGGATGAGCAATCAGTGATAGAATGTTTGGAACCGCCGCAATGGCTGCATCGAGGATCACTGCAACAGAATTTTTGGGTATGCCCATAACGTAGACTTTTATTGCATTGTATCGGAGAGCGAATGCTTGGATGGACGTCGAAAATCATATTGTAAACCGAAATGTATTGAGGTAGTTTGGGAAACAAGAATTTGAGTTCAAACGATGCGTGTGAGTACGATATTGCCACTTTTTTTGATTGATATACGTTTGAAGCTTACGATTTGGAAAAATGATAGGACTCCATCCAAAATATCGTCCTCGGAGACGTCTGAATCGAGTTTAATTATACCAAAAAAGTATATAATGTTCTATTAAAACATCGGAAGTCAAACAAAGATTACCATTCGAAATCGAGTCAAAGATAATCTTGATTTTTTTGCGCCAGCGGGTTTGATATTAATTATACCGGTGAATTAGTAGAAAAAAATTTGGCTGCTTTATCGGATGCCAATTACCTAAGTTTTTATTAAAAACGGTGCATTTAATAAGTATCATGACGGGACCGTTATAATCAGCAGCGAAGGTCTGTTGTGTAGGTTGAGACGACATATTAATAACATTGGAGTTATCAGTAGAATACGTAGAAATGTTAATTGGCGTTGAAATCACACCAGTGATGGAATGCGAAGTAGGATCATTAAAATTATCAGAAGATAAGTTGTTAATGATCGAGTCTGGCGACGCACTGTTTTCTGTAGATACGAGATTATTATAATCGAAGGCCGAAGTATTTAACATTGGAGTATTGTTTAAAATTTGTTGAAGTTCAGGGGACTTGGGAGAGAGTGAGTTGACTTTTAACTTACGTGGATTTTTTTTTTTGAGGTGACAGGTGTATAGCTGGGGTCAAGTGCACGATTAGAAGATAAAATAGGTTTTATTTTGTTAGGAGCAGGTGATTTATCCAACCGCGAGTCGCCGCCCGAAGACGACGACATATAAAGGTAATTAAAATGCACTAACGTTTAGATACAATAAATAAATATAAATAATAGCTGCGATAAGAGTAGAAAAAAAAAGACACAACCGAACATTACGACAGCAGAAACGCGATTGATCATTCTAGGTTATTGCATTACGTTTTAATGTTTATATCATGTTATAAATAGTATAAAAAAAATTATTAAATATATTTATATTTTTTTTTTTTATAAAAACTATTGTACTATTTTATAAGTTGTCAAAAAACGGGAACCCTTTCAAAATTCTTATAATAATATTGAGCTACAGAATAATTATATTCTGCGATAAACCATAAATAATGTTTTATAATGTTTATTCATTTATTTTCTTTTGTATAGAGTGTTTTTAATGACTATATGCAAGCCAGTAGTTTTTGCTCAATAATACACCTTAAGTATAAAGTTTAATAATATGGGTAGTGAATAACTATTATACATTTTTTTAATATTCATTTGATATAGTAGTTTACAGTAAATTATTTATTTCAATAATAAACTATTATATTTATTTTTCGTAATAAGTATCGTATTTTATTCAAACCTTTAAACTTAAAAAAATCCCTCTACTCCAAAATTAACTATTTTAATTGCTATTGAAAAATGTGTATTGATAAGGGTCTTCAAGATCTTGATTTATTACAAGCCTCGAGTAGTTTAGTTACGTGAGAAATAAATTGAAATTAAATTTAACAAAGTATTAATAATATTAATATTTTAAGGAAATTAATTTATTGCAATAATCTACCGCTTATTTTTGTTCTATCATAAACGAAAAATGAAAATAATATCTTAATAATTATATCTTATAGGTGTAAGTAGTAAGTTGGCCACAAGTATTTGAAATTAAATGTAAGTCTAGTATAAACCTATAACAATTCAGTCGCACATTTACACCTCGGGGAATCATGAATAGGACGAGTAGAAACTCTAGTCCAGAAACTCTACATACAGCTATTATCATTGATTATAAATACTAATGTATTATATAATAAAATGTATTTTTTTTTTTTAATTTTGTATCTTATCGCGTATTCTTTCCATTATACCTTTCCGTATATTCACCATGTATTACTTGTACCGTAAAAATAGGGTTTTATCGTTTTCTTCAGATCACCAGTTATTGACTTATGTTGTTTCTCAAAAAGGTGGTTAACATGATAATACGAACCACCTATTTGAGATGTACACATGAATAAACATATTTATGATATATCATCAAATCACCCGATACTGTCTATTTAAGGGTTTTTAGAGCAGGGGTTCTCAACCTATTTTTGTTCACCGTACAATTGTGCATCACAAATATTTGCGGCACACTCACACACAACAAAAAAATCTTTGGATACGCGCTAAGATATCCGGTTGGGTTAAAATCGTACAGGTACACTACAGTTTACCTACATGTGTATCGTCTTATATGCACAATCAATTGATATTTAACTGTCACAGTTTTATCAATCGGTATTTTCAAGTGTCGGAAATTGTTCGCAGCACAACGGTTGAGAACCACAGTTCTAAAGCGTCTAGTTTAATAATCGAATGCATCATGACATATTCATAATTCGATAAGAATATAACAATTTTGAACGCAAGTATGTATAAACTAGGCATCACTTGTAAGTACTTGAAACGTATTTATATTGTCGTATTTGGCGATTACTTCAACGCGCACAAATAAAACAAACGTGACTTTTAACGGAATTGCCCTTTAATGATCGAGCACATGTATGTTGTACATGTTACACATTTAAGTTCTTATAAAAGAAAATAAATATTGTGATGGATTGGCAGTGTATGTCTAATGTCGGCTGATTGTCCCGTCGGTTTTTTTTTTTTGGTTGTCGGTCGATTGACCCAGATCTATTGTGTTCAATATGTTTCTTTTTTTTATTTTTTTTTATTCAAGAAAAACGCGCGTTATATTGCGTATATTGTCGCGGAGACAACGGGAAGGACGCTTTGGGTTTTCCTTTTCAACATAAAATCCGGTACGCGTTCAAATCCTATCAGCTAGTGTTTATTTTATCTTCATCCGTACGAAAAGTATCTGCTTTCCCCTTTTTATACCTCCGGATCACCTAAACTGTCCGAAAGACATAAAACTCGGGCTGGGTGATTGTTTTTGTTTTTAGACGTTTTAATCGCCGTGCAGCGCATGGATTGAAAGATGCATGGAGATGGGGTGAGGGATGAGGAACAGTGAATGGTCGGGAGATGAGGATTGATCGGGTCGGGGTAGCGATGTTTTAATTACCGGATATTCCTTTTTAATGATCACAGCTTAAGCCGAAAACGCTGGTACACGATGAAACAGTGTAATGGCAACAATTATAAAACGGATCTAGGCCCAATGGAAATTAATACTAATCAATCATTATAAATTAGTAATTAGTTTTTAATAATATTCTACTATAAATGACCATAATCATTTCCAAATGAAATTGGTTTTACTATGATGTGAGTGTTTTTTTAACGTGTGTATGTGTATCTATGTGTCTGTGTACGCGATATTAATCAGAAGGATTGCTCCGATTATCACCAAATAAGAAGAAGTGAAGACCAGAAATGGATTCTCGTTGTTACTTTATAAAGGTCAGTTTCTGTATTTATCAACAGTTTTTCTAATAGTTAAAAAAATGGAGAATAAATTACAAAATACTTCAACTATTCGAACCCTCTCCTTCTATTACTTTGCAACGCACACATTTATTCGTGTCTATGAGAATGATTTTGACCGATCACTACAATCATTGAAGAGATTTTGGATAGGAAATGTTGTCAGTCGGTACTTTGACGTGCGATCATTTTACGAATTTATGAACATTTTTCTCAATAATTGTGCCGACGAAAAATTGTAAAAAAAAAAAATTTCGGCATATGGATTTTTCAAAAATTCAAATTCTTGTTTAATTTTTAAAAACATTTTTTAAGCTACTTATAAATAGTTAAATTAGATAAAATCTCAAGTTTTTCAGCTTTTTAAAAAAATGTTGATTACATAATTTAGTTTGATAATTTAATACAATATTCCTTATAAAATATATAACTGATTAGAGAAATAAATTGAGACAAATGTCAAAAAAAAAAAAAAAAAAATGATGAGCTTAGATATTAAATTTTGATAAAACGTTAAAAATCCACATTATCGTAGTTAAATCTCATACATACAATTTTACACTTAAAGTCCGAAAATTAGGTGCAACATTTTTTTTTTTTAAGTCAAAAAGAAAAAAATGAATAAAATATTGTGAAAAAAGCGTTGCAAAATGAAAAATTGATGAAAAACGGATATTTCAACGAGTTTCCTTTACACGATAATAGTTATTTAGTAGTTATCTTATAAATATTTGTACGTTTTGACTCATAAACATATTATTTTTATAAGCATTTTAACGATATTTCATAGTTTCAAAATATTTTAATGAAGTTTGTACTGTTTATAGAGGCATCTGTAATTTTCGATTTACCAAATTGTATAAGTTGTAACATCAAAAGTTCGACCTTCATTATTGAGAAATTTGATTCTACTACTATAACAACCACTTTTATAAATATAAACGGATCCACTTTATCCTTTCACTCGGAACCGTTTTTATTTTTCGAAAGCGATGGTAGGTACATAGGCTTTAATTTTAAAAGACTAACACATCAATATCGTTCACCCGTCCTCGTATTTCAGTGGTCTTCAACATTTTCTTACCATACATTTTTCGCGACCTATGGAAACTTTACTAGCAACGTAAACCAAAATAAAAAGTTAAAATTGCTTACCGTATACCATTGTAGAAATGCTTTTATAACTGAATAAATTAAAATTTATACTTTTATAAGTATCTAGGTAATATTTAATTTTTATTATAAGTAATGATAAAAAAAAAAAATGCATGTAATAATACACAAAAAAATATTAGCACGATATTTATCCTTGACTGTTTTCGCACTAAACACCTCCACCACCGCTCAATTTCACGCACCGCAGTTTATAGACACATTACATGTAAATTAGTTTTATGGATCGAACCGGGCTATCGCTGTATCATTACTTCATTTGATTCTTCATTACTTTTTTTTTTTTATTTAAAAATTAAGGTTTCAGCATTAAAGGTTATTAGCTGTTAGCCATAATTTTCCGAATTTGGCTTTC